CTGCCACAGAAAGAAATCTTCAGAATTCTGCTTGGAGTCATACAGGATATGAAGGAAGCAATAAAGAAAAAGTATGAAATGATAGTGGAGATAAAGGCAATGCACCATTGGGAAATACAAGACCTAAAGAATGAAGTTACAAAATCCATAGCAAATTAACAGACTTTGAAAACAAACTTGAGGAGGCAGAGAATCACACCAGTGACCTAGAGGATAACCAGGCAGACTTCAACAATAAGACAATCAGCGAATCTGAAGAAAACCCAAGAGAGCCATGTCTGATGCTAAGAGGAAGAACAATATTAGAATACTTGGACTACTGGAACAAGACACAACAAAGAAGTTAACAGTGAAAATAGTGAGGGAATTCTTAGAGGGAGACTTCCTCAGCTTAATAAATGAGAATCAGGCTATCATTCAGGAGGCCGAAAGAAAACCAGTTGGACTGAATCCCAAGAAGTCACCAAGACACATAATAGTTAAATTATCCAACTATGAGGAAAAAGAGGAAATCATAAGAGCAGCTAGGGAAAAACAAATAGTCCCTTATAAAGGAACTCAAATAAGAATATGTTCAGACCTAAACAGAAGTCTACCAAACGGCTATACACATCAGACAAGATCACAGAAAAGGCACTTAAAAAGGTGGTACCCTTTACAATAGCCAAGCACAAATTGAAATATCTAGGGATATACCTGACTAAAAAAAATCAAAAGATTTGTACGAGGAAAACTACAGAACACTATTTCAAGAAAACAAGAGTGACCTCAACAAATGGCAGAATATCCTATGCATGTGGATCGGAAGACTTAATATACTAAAGATGTCAGTTCTGCCCAAGACACTATATAAGTTTAATGCTATCCTGATACAAATACCATCATCCTTCTTCAAAGAATTGGAAAAACTGATACCCAACTTTATATGGAGAGGGAAGAAGCCCAGAATTAGCACAGAACTCCTCAAGAAGGACAAAGTGGGAGGGCTTGCTCTACCTGACGTTAGCACATATTATACAGCCACAGTGGTCAAAATAGTGTGGTACTGGTATAACGACAGATATTCAGACCAATGGAAAAGAGCTGAAAACCCAGAAATAAAAACATAAGCAACTGATTTTTGATAAGGGCCCAAAAAATATCAAATGGGAAGCAGATGCCCTCTTCAATAAATGGTGCTGGGAAAAATGGATATCTACCTGCAGAAAAACGAAGCAAAATCCTTACCTCACTCCATGCACAAGAATAAACTCAAGGTGGATCACAGACCTTGAGGTACAACCCCAAACTATTAGGGCCATTAATGAGGTAATTGGGACAAACCTGAGAACCTTGGCACAGGGAATACATGGGCTATCGGAAATAGGGAAGAATACAAAGACAGAGGAGTCACAAATTGACAAGTGGGATATACTGAAGATAAAAGAATGCACCAAGAGAGTAATAAGAGAGCCCATGGACTGAGAAAACATCTTTAGCAATGACACATCAGACAAAGGCCTTATTACTAACATCTATAATACTTTGTAAACTTACAATAAGAAAAACACGAACTGCCAACGAAGGAGATGGGCAAAAGAACCTGAACAGAAGTTTCACAGGGGCAGAAATCTGAAAGGCCAATAAACATATGAGAAAATGTTTCTGATCATTAGTCATAAGAGAAATGCAAATTAAAATACCTATAAGATACCACCTAACACCCTCAAAGACAGCCCAATTCAAAATATCAGACAGTAACAAGCGTTGGAAGGGCTGTGGGGAGATAAGAACTCACGTCCACTGCTGGTGGATCTGTAGGTATGTGCAGCCATTATGGAAACTGATTTGGTGATATGTAAAACAGATGGAAATTGAGCTACCATACAACCCAACAACCCCCCTACTGGGCATATACCCAGAAGAGGCAAGAAACAAA